TCTTCCTCTTCTTTTATATCTCCTGCCACTGTTCTGTTATGTTCCGTGGGGGGCTTTGTTTTAATCTTTTTGCCTTGACTTTAAAGTACCTCAGCCACAGAAAAGTAGTGAAAAGAAAGGCTTTTGATGTTCACAAAAGAAATGCAAGAACAAAAGCAGCAGCAGCAACAACAACTAACCAAACAACTTAACTCAATAGATCCTTGCCGTGATACTGAATATACTCGTCCTGATGATGATGACGATGATGATAATAATAACGGCAATGGCGAGGATTATTACGATGTTGGTTATGATTTATAAAAATCTCTACAAGGATACAATTTTTGAAGAGATTCTATTCTAGATATTTTGGGTTTAACAACAAAGAGCAAAGCTTTTTTGTTGTGATGGCTTTTATTTGTCTCTTAAATGAAAAAAATCCGAACATAGGTATTACCAGTAAATCTGTACATAACATTGATTTAAAGCTTTCTAACCTATTTAAATTCGGTTTTTTATTTGTTTTTGTTTCATTTTTCCCAACATTACAAGGATAATTACCCACTCTTGAGGTAAAACCCTTACAGCCATAATCATTGCCACACACACAGAGAATGAGAGTGACCATGATTTTGTTTTCTCTGTGTGTGTGTGAGTGACTGTGACGTATGACAAAACAAATACAAATTAAACAGAATACTCAGCACAAGGATAAAAATGGAATGTCACTAATCGGCTTCGAAAGATATTTTTCTATTTAAAAGAATCAAATTCAGCTTCTGGGGAAATATTTTCAATATAAAAAATCAAACTCATGAAGGGAATCTTCAATTCAGCTTTGGTGAATAAGGTTTTCCATAGGAAATCTCTAACTCTGCCAGACTGAAGAAGGTTTCTCATAGGCAATCTTCAATTCAGCCTGGCTGAATAAGGTTTCCCATAGGAAATCTTAAATTCCGACTGGCTAAATAAGGTTACCCATAGGAAATTTTTAATTCAGCCTGACTGGTTGAGGTTCCCCATTGGAAATTTTCAATTCAGCCTAGCTGAATAAGATTTCTTATAGGTAAGCTTCAATTTCGACTGGCTGAATAAAGTTTTCTGCAGTAAATCTTCAATTCCGACTGGCTAAATAAGGTTTCCTATAGAAAATCTTCAATTCAGCCTGGTTGAATAAGGTTTTCTGTAGGAAATTTTCAATTCAGCTTGATTGAATAAAGTTTTCTATAGGAAATCTTCAATTCAGCATGGCTGAAAAAGGTTTCCCATAGGAAATTTTTAGTTCAGCGCTGCTGAATAAGATTTCCCATGGAAAATCTCCAATTCAGCCTGGCTGAATAACGTTTCCTATAGGTAAGCTTCAATTCAGCCTGGCTGAATAAGGTTTCCTATAGGTAAGCTTCAATTCAGCCTGGCTGAATTAGGTTTCCCTTAGGAAATATTCAGTTCAGACTGGCAGAATAAGGTTTCCTATAGGTAAGCTTCAATTCAGCCTGGCTGAATAAGGTTTCCTATATATTCAGTCTGGCTGAATTAGGTTTCCTTTAGGAAATCTTCAATTCAGCCTGTCTAAATAAGGTTATTCATGGGAAATTTTCAGTCGGAATTGAATTGAAGGCTGAACAAGGTTTTCCATAGGAAATCTACAATTCAGCTTGGCTGAATAAGGTTTTCAATAGGAAATCTTCAATTTAGCCTAACTGAATAAGGTTTTTCCTATGCAAAAAGAAAGGAAAAATGTTGCGTATGATTTATATTAAATATTAGAATATAATACGCCATACGCCACCTTGAGTCACACCTAATACACATAACCTAAAACCTATTAACAGCAATTTTAATTTCACTTTAAATCCCGCAAGATTGCAAAAATCATAACTTTTGACCTTTTTATTGATATTGTTTTTGGATTTCTTGTTTTTTTTTTTCCTACAAAACTATTTACACTGTATCGTCATTAATACGCTCTCATGTTGATATAGCACTCATAAGCATACATAAATAAAACAAATAACCATACGCACACAGACATACATACTCATATACTATTTACATATGTACGGCTATACGTGGTTATTTTCTTCTTTTTGTGGTTAAATATTCAAGGTTTATCTGTGATGTTAGAATGGTAGAGAGAGGGAGGGAGCGAAGAAAATATTAGCATCACAAAGGACTTATGGATTTCTGAATTGCATACAAATGCATCAAGCTTGAACACAGACGAGCACACAAACACACTCAGTTATACATGACATTGTGGACCATCTCTCACTTATCTTTTAGTAGTAGTTCGCTCGTTTGTTTTGTTTTTATTTGCACACACACACGCAAGCCACTACAAATGGATACCTGGGGAAAATGTTTCCACACACAAACAGCAGCAGTTCAGCAGCAACAACAAAAACTAACCTTGACTGTTTCAGCAGCAGCAACAACAAAAAAGCGACAACAAGAACATCAAGTAGCAGAGAGAACGTACGAACCAGCGAACGACTTTGAATATTGAAACTGTATTCATCAGGGTATAAACCAACAGTCGAAATGCAACATCAGCCTTCACAGAAATCCATGCACAACCATGCATGCATATGTGTGTGCAATATATCTAGGAATACAAAACATGTGAACATGCAGTGTTCAAGAAAACCACTCATTCAGGTACAAGGTAAAATTTTCTACATTTAACACACACATAGACACCGAACGACCGACCGACCGACCGAACCAGCCAACCACCCGCAGCAGCATGGTCACCATATTCTGTTGCAAAGCTCTGCCACACAGCCATCCATGCTTGCATGCATGCACAATCACCAATAGGTGTGGACACAAAAGTTTGCATGCCATATACGTAAATACATACACCCGTACATAGCGATGTCGCTTTGAAGGATATCAAACGTATGTATTTTGTATGTCTGTGACATGTGTGGTTATGTTTTGTATAAATGTATGGATGGGTATGTGTGTGTGTCTGTGCTTGTGTTCGTGCGCGTGTGGAAAGATCACAGCGATAAACGAAAGCCTCAAATATCTTTGGGGGATTTTCATATGAATTTGAAAGGAGCATAAAGAGAAATTTTAACATGTAAAAGGAACTAGAACATGCTTAACACTTCTAAGAAATTATGGATGTACATATATGTAGGGGAAGGTGTTTGTATGAAAGGTGTATATATGTATGTATAGAAGGTCTATACAATTTATGAATTGAATGGGGAATATGTAGAATGTTTTTTTCTTCGGAAAGGTTAGAAGGCTATTAAGAGCAAAACCTTGTCACACAAAGGACCCCAAAATGCAATATGCACACAACTGTTTATAAAGCGAGTAATTGATCTAATAATTCATCAAATTGGGCAGGATATTTAAAAAAAGCTACTCCCAAAAACATTGACCAACTTTCATTTAGACAACAGTCAGATTTAAGTCCACTAGAGTTACGGACTTTGAAGTTCGAATTTAAATGTTTAATTTTAAAATAATTAATATTCTACTTTGGGGATTTTCAGGGTAAGGCATGGTACCATGGAATGGTAAGTGTTAATACTAACCTTGCTAATGTCAGCCACAACATTTGTTAATCTGTTTCTAGAAGGAGATCACAGCTGAGCCAGATTTACCATAATCAGAAGAGGCTGTGGTAATAGATTCAATATTTCGTAATTATTATGATGAAATACATTGAAAGCAGTGTTCTCGGCAGCCAAACGGATGCCTTTATGAATATCATCCATAACACGAAACTGTTGAGACCACAATTCTTTTAGTTCCGGGACTTCATCGAAAATAAGATTTTATTTTAAAGAAAATTTTGGTAAACAAAATGGCATACATACCAACTTCTTTTTGTTGGCGAGGAAGCAGCACCTTTCCGTATCCTTTCCTCTCTATAATGGCCAAACAACAAGCAATACGAACACGCCATTCATTAAAATTTAAATTATCCAAAAGCTCCCTCAATATTTTCCAATAATATTGTTCCACAACTTCTTTGGGTTCACTAACGATGGAATCCCATATGGAAATCATTGAGTTTTGGGTTTTGATATATCATTTCGGGTTGATTGAGATCAGAGGCCAAAGAACAAAGTTCTTTGTTAGTGGTAATGTCATTGACCTTATTAACCTTGCGTTTGCCACCCATCAATTGGTCCAGTAACGAATTGGCCAATTCATTTTTGGCTGGTGGGATCAGATAAATTGTAAACCAAATCCAATCCAAACGAGAGGCAACATCTTGGAAAAATTGTATTATAAAAAAATAATTAATGGGAATCCGAAAAAATGTTATTAATTATAGGTCTACTTACCACTATCATCGGATAATAGGTCGGTAAATGCATATTGCAGCATTTGCTTCTTATTGAGCACAGGTGGCCGATAGCTGCAATTTTTGATGGCATTACATTCTTTACATTTGGTGGAGTCTTTGTTCACTAGTCTGGAAAATCCCGTCAAAAGTACCTTAGATAATCTGTTTATGATGATCATGGTACATCTACAATAAATATACACAAATTTAAAATAATTTTTATCATTTCACTACGTCAACTTACTGTTTTATAAAGGTAAACAATTGCTTTTGGTTGTAAATTTGATTAACGCTTTTTGGCGCGCTTTTCATTGTTGTGTTCTGTGCTTGGCAAAGTCCATTTACTTGATTGGTCAAAAGTCGACTTTTAGATCCCTAATACCTTGCAACATATGTTGGAAAAAGAACAAGCACAAAAAGCAATCACGTTCACTGAGCGGCTTGGTCTTTCTTGTTCATGCCAAAGCCACTATTGACTTTTAACGTCGTTGTCTCTTTTGATCCAATCAATGATATTGCAAAAATAAACTTTTAATTTGTTAAATAAAATTGCAACTTGCAATATTCTAAAGTTAAAAAACAGAGCAACACATTAAAGTTGTAGTTCTGAAGTGTGTAAATCTGTTAAAAGAAGAAAAGCAAAACTATATCCCAAATATATAGAGGAGTCCCATTGGTGTAACAAATTGAGGAGAATATAAACAAAACAATGGCCAGTGAGGAAATTGGTAAGGAATAGTTGGTATTTCCTTGGGATTTACAAAATATTATGGACGTAGATTGAAATTTATGAATCATGGATGTTCACGCAAACATTTCCCCTTCTTGCTGATGCAGTCCCCTTATTCGAATAATAGCATTTGCTCTGTTGCCGAATTTGCATTATTTATTTCCTGGTTTTTTTGCTTGCAGAACTCTTGGAACGTGTCTTGTTGCGTTTGGGCTGTGCCGATACAGACGAGAAATTGGAAGCATGTGTGGGACGATTTTTGACACCGGTTATATTGAAAATAACATCACCACATGATGCTGTACGCAACAAGGTAATTGCAATTGATATAATTATATCATTTAACTAATAAGCAGGCAATAATATTTTTCTGATAGGTTGTGGAGGTACTGACTCACATCAAGCGACGTTTAAGTTCTCGACCATTGGTTCAAATTCCCGTGGAGGCCTTAATTGATCAATACAAAGCCTCAGCCAATTCACCATTTTTACAGAACTTCGCCATTATATTCATAACCATGGGTTATCCTCGTTTGAGCATTGAATCTCGTTCACAGTTGGCAGCCAAGCTGATCGGATGTGAAGGCAAACTGGAGAATTATCAGGACAAGTAAATATGTATTTTTTTACAGAATATGTCAATTTTATTAATAACAACGTTATCCTTTGTAGATTATTTATGTTAATTTTGGCTGATTTAAATGAGATCAAACTACCAGATGATCCAGCCCAAAGAAAGGAAGTTTTAGGTTTGGATGACAAACCGGAAATAAAGAAAAACTTTCTTTCTCTCCTGCAAGATGTGTTGCTGTTGCCCTATGGCGTTACTCAAGAACAAGGTGTACCACCCGGCATGAGTCCATATTCGTTTAAAAGGGTCACAGTGAATAATTGGAAGGCTGAGGAATTGGAAAATGTGTGTACACATTTCCTTTTTAAAATAAAAATTTTAATTATTTTATTATTTTTAGATTAAAAAAGGCATTGTCCGATTACTATGCTCGGGCATGTTCAGTGATTTGGATATTTTCTTGCTGTTGGTTTTGGCTTCGGCTGATACCCGTTTTAGTGTGGCCACTCCGGCCATTGGAGAGCTTAGTAAAGTGGTTACAGTATTAGATTTTACTGATCCTCATGTTACCATGCCTTTGTATTCTCTGTTTTCGGGAAATGGCTCGAACATTGCTGAACGTAAGACAACACCATGCTGTGCTCGTGTTAGGCAAAAACTGTTATTGTATCTTATTAAATGTCATGGCAAGGGCATAAGTGTACCCAAAGGCATTCAAGTGGTGTTTGAGGGTCTCTTCGGAACCAACACCAATCAGAAATGTATGGTTTTGTCTTTGCAATTTGCTGAAAATCTCATAAAGGAGTAAGTAGACATTTAGCATTTAAAAAATATATATTACTAAATATTTACAATTTTTTTACAGAGGTCCCATAGAAATCATCAACAAAGTATCTAAGGTACTTTTGACGGGCTTTTCCAAACTCGTTGGCAAAGATTCCACCGAACCCAATGATGTCCAGAATGCAGCCTATTCTGCATTGGCCCAACTCTCGCGTACATGCCCATCGGCCGTAAATCAGGATTTAAAAATTGTCTTATCCTATTTTAATCATTTAACCAATTCACCACCTGATCTACACAGTTCCATTCGAGAAGCTTTAGTGGCAATGGCTCCAGCCTTTGCCTGGAAACCTGAAGAACATAAAACCGAAGAGGGTACCACAGATGAAGTGGTCAAGCTGACTGGCCAACAACATTTATTGTTGGCTATGCTTTCGGATAATGCTGAATCTAAACTAAACATTGTACAAAATGTTACCAGTATATTTTTAACCACTTGTTATCCGGAATACTATGCACCCTCAAGATATTTATTGCTACTTATTGCAGGTGAACGGTAAGCACAATTTTTACAGATATATTTTAATTTTTGATAATTTTTCTTTAATTCCAGTAACTCCTTGCGTGAAAATGTAACCTCATATTTGTATGGTGTTTCCAAGAAAGATCACATTAACTATCAAATGTTATCTTCAATTGAATACATAAATGAGGATAAAAATATTGAAGATTTCAATAAATTGATATCCGAACAAAGACATGTTGTCTTGCCCAGCTTTAAATCAATGATGCATCATGTCAATGAAATTGCCGAGAAGAGATTGAAAAAGAATATGGCAGTGGTTGTGGGACGTACCAAGTTACCATTTACATTGGAGGTGTATGAAGAGGTAAGTGTTAAATCCATTAAAATGTGTTTTATATTTTAATTGTCTCTATCTTTAGATATTGGATTATTTGCGTATTTGTTTGTGGTATTCAGCCGGGGCTCGTTGTGCCCCCGGTGATACAAAGTACCAACATAAGTTGAAACAATATATCATGTGTAACTATGAGGAATCGGAAAACAATGAATTGCATCAATATTTGTTGTTCATACAAAAGGCAGTGGAGGCTAGGAGACGTAGGTTTTGTTTACTTTGAATTTATTTCAGTATTTTATAAATATTTAAATGATTTCAGATGAATCTAATTTATTGTGCCTCTATGATTTGTTAAATGTTACACCGGACTTGTTGTGTAAATCTCAAATGCATTTATTGGAACCCCTTGCCAATTCCCTTAAGGATGTTTCAGAAGATATGCGTTCAAATGTGGCCCAAATTGTGGGTATTCTGTGGGCCTATGGTTTTGATGACAATGAATTTAATGCTCAGGTATTTCGATTTATTATCTAAATCACAATTCATAGAATGATTTTAATTTTATTATTTTCTTCTAAAGATTGGTGATTGCCTCAAGGACTTGGCCCAACGCTCATTGGAACATAAGCATGGCTGGTTGTTGGTAATGGGTCATGCCTTTAGCCGCATAATCCAAAAATATAAAAATGCTAACGAGAATAGAGACTATCAAAATTGGTCGCAATTTGTGGATGCCATTAAAGTAATAGGTACTGACCTTTTTAATGTACTTCATGGCGGAATTATTTACCTCATATCTCTTTACATTCCAGCTGAATTTTTGGTGAAAGGACCACAAGATTTGCTGATATCGGCAGCGGCAAAATGTTTCTCAATGATCAGCAAATGGACGGAAATACCCAATGTTCAATTGTCGATAACCTTCCAAAAACCCGATAACGACAATGATGATGATGACGAGGAAATGACTGAGTACAGTAAGTTTGCAACACAAATATATGCCATCTAAAAATACCATAAGTACCTGAGCTTTAAATATGAATTAAATTATTTATCTATATTTTCTTTCAGCTGCAACTGGTTCCACAAAGTATTTCATATTCACCGTGGTCCATAGACTCTTGAAAAGTTCTTCAGTTCGACCAAAAATTCGTGCTGAAGCTGCCAAATGTTTGGGCAATTTAGCCATTGGTGATGGTCAATATTTTACCCAAAGAAATTTAGAGAAATTCCTATCATTGGTTAAAATTCAGAAGGATGCTGCCCTTAATATTGCCATTTCGGATGCCATTGCAACCACCTTATGTGGTTATGATATAAGTGAGGGTAAACCTTCGGAAGATTTCATTAATCCCCATTGCAGTGATGAAGCATTTGAAACATTTTTAAATTCTCTAATTCGCTTGGTGCCCGAACCAAATCCCCATTGTCGCCAGTCGTGTTCAGTGTGGCTTTTGGCTGTCATCAAAAATTGCAGTTATCGTCCCGCTGTGCTCAATAAAAAGCAAATGTTGCAATATGCTTTCACGGAGCTATTGTCCGATGATAGTGGTAAGTAAACCTAAAATAAATAATTTTTTTCGGATTCTCATTAATTATTTTTTCTTATAAAAGAATTTGTCCAAGATGTTGCCTCTCGTGGTTTGGGTTTGGTTTACAATTTATCCGATCCCACCAGCCAAAATGAATTGGCCAATTCCTTGCTGGATCAATTGATGGGTGGCAAACGCAAAGTTAATAAAGTCAATGAAGATACCGAACTTTTTGCCGAGGGTATGCTGGGTAAAACACCGACAGGGTAAGTCCGTACATTTTTTTAAGTGGGTATTTTCTTAAAGAAGTTTTGAAATTTCAGAGGCAACATTACCACCTACAAAGAACTTTGTTCCTTGGCCTCTGATCTCAATCAACCCGAAATGATTTATCAATTTATGCAATTGGCCAATCACAATGCCGCCTGGACCAGTAAACTGGGTGCCGCATTTGGTTTAAAATCCCTTTCAAGTGAAACAAAGGCCAAAATGCAGCCGTATTTAAGTAAAATCATACCACGTCTTTATCGCTATAAATACGACCCGACACCAAAAATCCAAAACTCCATGATTTCCATATGGGATTCCATCGTTAGTGAACCCAAAGAAGTTGTGGAACAATATTATTGGGAAATATTGCGAGAGCTTTTGGATAATCTAACATTTAATGAATGGCGTGTTCGTATTGCTTGTTGTTTGGCCATTAGAGATTTGCTGAGGAGGCCAAATGGTTTGCGTTTACGTACCGAGGAAAGGATACGGAAAGGTGCTGCTGCTTCGCCATCGAAAAGTAATGCCATGGATGTGGGTATGTATGCCATTGTTGTTACCAATATTTTCTTTAAAAACAATTTTTGTTTTTAGATGAAGTCCCTGAACCGGAGCTAAAAGAGTTGTGGACTCAGCTGTTTCGTGTTATGGATGATATTCATGAAGGCACCCGCTTGGCTGCCGAGGGTACTGCTCTGTTTCTTAGTAAGGTATTGGTTTTCAAATAAAATACGAAACATTGAATATATATTTTGAAAATTCTCTTCCCCTTAGCTCTGTGTCACCGCAGCCTCTTCGGATCATGGCAAATCCGGCTCTGCTGTGGCCTCTTCCATATTGCCGTTCCTTTTGGAAACTGGTGTAACCCATGTGGTGGCTGATATACGCAAGATTAGCATTAAAACTATATCCGAAATGATTGACTCCTCGGGAGCTTTAATAGCTCCACATTTGCCATCTCTGATACCATGCCTTTTGAAAGCCACCGGTGAATTGGAGTCTTCCAAGTTGTCTTATCTTTCAACACGTTTGGGTGCTGATCATGATGCCCAGGAAAAAGTGGATTCCATTAGGGCAGAGGCAGCCAAATCCCATCACACCACAGAGACAACTGCTAAGGTAGGGCAATCCTTCGCTTGACTTTTAAAGCAGATTAATTTATTTCTTCTTTTTATTTAGTGTGTTCGTTTCATAGACTATGAGTCATTGGAAAAAATGACCCCAGCCATTTTGGACTTGGTAAAAACCACCGTCAACTTGGGCACCAAAATTGCCTGTGCCCATTTTATATGTCTGGTATGTACAGAAGAATTTGTTCCCTTCTTGAAATCTTTATATAAATTGAGGGTTTGATATTCTAGATAAGCATTCGTCTGAGCCAAGAAATGACACCCTTGGTGGGTAAATATTTGGGAGCCTGTTTTGTGGGTCTCAAGGATCGCAATGCCACCGTAAGAAAGTACTATGCCAGTGCCATTGGCCATTTGATTGGAATTGCAAAGGTAAGGTAACCTTTCTTTATTCGAAATAGGAAAGTAATACAATCTCCTCCAATTTAGGAACAATCTGTACGCAATTTGTTCCTCAAACTTGATGAACTATATATGGAAAATACCTCACATCGTTCCGCCGTTGTACAAGTTCTACAATCGATTAACAAACGACACAATGAATTAATAAAAGACTATTTGGACAGTGCCCTGCCATTAATTTTCTTTGCCATGCATGAAGAACAAAATGAAGACAATAAATCAAATATTGAATCATGGCGTGATTTGTGGAATGAAGTTAGTCCCGGTGATGCTGGTATACGTATGAACCTCAATGTTATTGTACCCAAGTTGGAGAAATCTCTGAACGATGCCAGTTGGTCGAGAAAAGCCCAAGCGGCCAATGCCATACAGACAATTGCCAAACGTTTGCGTGACACTTTGGAGGAAAAAGATCGTTTGCAACTAATAAACCTACTTATTAATGGTCTGCAGGGACGCACCTTTCAGGGAAAAGAACGCCTACTACAAGCCTTGGCAGCCCTTTGCAAGGGTCTCGATCGTAAACACGAAGTGTGTGAACGTATTGTGGAATCTGCAATGAAAGAATGTCGCAAGGAGGAACCACAATACCGCACTTTAGTTTTACCCTGTTTGGGTGACATTCTCGAAGATTTGGAAGTCGATCGCTTCGAGGAAGTCTACAATATGTTGTGGAAAATTTTAGATAAAAAGGCGTTACGTAAATTATCTACCTCAGATGATGATGGCGATGATGATAAGGAGGAGGATTTGACCACAGATGAACGTAACAAGAGGGCCACCATCTTGAATAAACTTAAGGAGGTGGTGTGTGAAACATTGGGTAAGGCATGGCCCCGCAACTCTGCAGATACTCAAGCAAAATATCAGATAATGTTTGCGGAACGTTGCTCAACAATTTTGGTGGATAATACAAGGCCGGTTCAGGTTAGTTTGCTCATAGCCTTGGCTAAATATACCGAACGTTTGCATGTATTGGGTAAACAAGACAATGCCACTGAGGATACATCTGCCGATGCGGCTGGCAACAAAGAAAAGAAGGTCAAGGTGGACAAGGAAATGGAAAGGGATGTTGTTGTACCGAAAATATGTGAAAGTGTTTTATCAGCTGTTAGCTATGCGGCAGGTATGTAACAAAAAGTTCAATATAATTTTTAACTTGGAATTAATTTTATATTTTCTTTGCAGGCATACCCCATACGGGTTTACGCAAAGAGGCTTTAACAATTGTCTTAATACTAATTAAACGCCTTAGCGAGGTCAAAGACTTGAAAAACCTAACACTGGTTAAACAAAATTTCGACGAAAATCTAACGAAATTCCAAAAAGATTCAGCACCCGAGGTGCGTTGTCGCATCAAAGATATTGAAGAGAAATTTGTTAAATCCGGCTTCCAAGATCATTAAATGATAATGAAGTTGAAAATAAAAATGAAATTATATTGAGATTCGTTTTCTAAAGAAACCATACGTGAATAAAAGGTATAATATGGGAATTTATATTGTAAATTATTTTTCTGTCTCAAATAAAATATTATTATTATTTTTCAAAATACTAGATTAGTAATTTAACAATTGTGAATCATTTTTTGGAGAATAACGCAGATGATGCATGAAATTCATTTAATGGAGAATAATTTATTTAATTAAAGGTGTTGATGAAATAATTGCAAGTAAGTATTGTTTTTTGACACTCTGTTGCATGCAAAGTATTTAAAGGTGGTAGATTGCACTTTGAAAATTTTAATATCGAAAGCATTGAACCCGCCGAACCCGATTGAAAATTAGAAATAATTGTTATAAGATTTATTTAAGCAATATGGGGTCAATGACCACTATAACTGCATATGTCATTTTAAAGCTACTTAATTGCAAAATTTGTTTCAAATTGAGGTTATGTTTGCGATAAAATTTATGCAAAAAGAAAAAAAAATATGGAAAGTGGAATATCTGCCTCGAAAATATATACCAAATATGTATGTATATAAAAAACATATTTTGGGAAATATTAAAAAAAATTAAAGATTATCTAAAATTGGATAATCTTTTTTTCTAAAGTGAGGTTATGTTAATTAAAATTTTATTCTCTGAAAACCCGAAATGTCAATTTTAAAATGTTTACCGTTTGTGGGGAAGGTACCGCAAGGAGTGGACCAATGGGTCCCATCTTCGGACTTAATATAGACTTCGTTAATATATATATAAATATTGAACATTTTGATCAACTGTGAGGGAGGTACCGGAAGGAGTGAACCAATAGGTTCCAGCTTCAGACTTGGTAAAGATAATAGGTTGTGCGAAGTTTGGTTCAAAACTGACATTCCTTTTGCAAATATTAGATTTATTAATGTTGGAAAATTTTACCATTTGTGGGAGAGTTACCAGGAGTGTACCAATGGGTCCCATTTTCGGACTTGATATAGACATCGTAAAGATAATGGGTTGTTTCGTTCAAATAAGGGGGGTTACTCTGTATTGCGTTGCGAAAGCAAGTGCGATGCGAAAGCTAAATGCGTTAAGAGTACAATTTGGTACTCTGTAACGTTCACGCAAACGCATTCGCAAACTAAATTGAAAATGGGGCAACACTGTCGCCACAAAGTAAACAATAACGAAGAATGACAAAAGGAAACGTCAAAAAATTGTAAATGAAAACATATTTTTGTGTGGTACGAGTGTTTTTTTTAAACAAAAATGATGAACGAATTAAAAAAAAAGAATTTTATGAGATCTATCAAATATACTCTCCCTAAGTGACCACGGGTATGAAAATATAAGTACGAATTATGTGACAAATGTTTTCAAATATTTAATTTTTATAGATTTATATATAATGTCTCAATAAAGATTCGTTTATGTATTTTTCAAACGCTCGTCGTTTCAAATAGATCCACAACAATTCCAACTCCAATAAAAGTGGCCGCTGCTTTGAAATTGCTTGAACAAGGTGGTTATCAACACCAACCTATAAATATGCACACATAGTTTCACATTTTATATAAAAAAATAATATTTTACTTTTTCCAACCCCCGACATCTTTTACAGGAGGTCAATTTGAATTGAGGTCATCAGACAGTTTTGTCCACAAATTGTTGGCGCGTTGTTTCGCATTTGAACTCTGCAACTGTCCCTTTGCCAAATCACTGTGTTGCCCCATAAAATCTACTGAAGTTAGGAACTGACGTTGCTGAGTCTGTAACTGTGACTTTTTTGCCTTTTACTTAAAATAATTTACAATTTATATATAAATAAAACCTTTAATGGAGCTTACTTATATGTTTCGCTTCCTTTGCGTTTGCTATTTTGTTAACGCAAGATATTTGCGCTTAACGAACGAGTTTGACATGCGTTTTCGTATTACAGAGTGCGGTGATGCCACATTTGCGTAAAGTAGATGCGAAAGGAGATACGAAAACGAATTAGAGAGTACCAATTACGCGATGCGTTACAATTTTTCTCACGCATCGCAATACAGAGTAGCCCCCCAGACGTTCCATTCGTCTGATATTGAATTTACACATATTGAAAATTTTGACCCTTTGTCGAGGAGGTACCAGAAGGAGTGGGCCAATGGGTCCCTATTTAAAGAAAATAGATTGATTGAAAATGTTGACCATTTGTGGGGAAGAAGTGGACCAATTGGTCTCATCTTTGGATAGGATAGTCGCATGATATAAAATTAATTTTTAGCACAATATTGACCATTTTGTGGGGGAGGTACCAGAAGAAGTGGACCAGTATTCCCCATGTTCAAACTAAGTTTGTCTGAAATATTACGATGCTCAAAGATTGGACGAAATCGTTTGATCCCTTCGAAAGTTATCGTGCGCACCAGCCGGCCAGACAGACGGACGGACATTTGTAATTCGACTCCAAATTGTCTGAAAGGGATTTAGTCCTAATAAACATGGTGTCTAAAACCAATATATCGATGAGGCACATTTTCAACATATCAAAGTGTATATACCCTCATAAGGCTGAGGTTATAAAAAACGACGTTATTTCCAACAAAAACAAGAAACCATTACAAAACGTGTATCCTTTGTTTAATTAACGCCACGTAATGTGTGTTGCATGGTGGTAGGAGAAAATTGATTTAATTTCATTACAGCTATGTACCTGAGTTAGGTCTTCACGGAAAGTGAAAATATTTCCTAGAAAATGTGGGGGTTGAAAAATTGTGTTTATCCGATTTTCAACGATCTTCTTTATCCATTGAAAAGCAATGCGTATTTTCATAGGGCATCTTGAAGGAAAGTGTGCTAGGCAGATGGCATGACATAAAAGAACGAACAGGCTTTTCTCAGTTATTTCTAAATTCTTCAATTCTATGTCAATGGACTTTTTCAATACTTTGTATTGATATACAAAAACAAATTCACAATTAAATCTTGTTAATACAATTAGTTTATTAAAATAGTTCTATAAAGGTATATGATTTAATAAAAAATTCAATAGTTTTGTTTTTTTTATAACAAGGATGATTCAATATAGATAAAAAATAACACAAGATGTTTAGTTGTAGTTGACAGGGTGGTTTTTGTTTTCGTCTAATACATTAATGGTTGTTTTGAAGAGAAAAAATTAAAAAATCCTTAAATCTAATTGTGATTCTTCTTCGAGGGCATTTGCAAAATTGAGATAAAAAGTATTGAGTTCTCAAAAACCTTAAATTACAACTCTTAAGATTTTGATTTACAAACTGATGATATTCGATAATTTTTATAAAAACAATAAAAAAACCTAACTTAAAACTATAGCAGTTGAAGTATGGACAATGCCATTTTGTGACAATTGTAAAGTAGTGTTAACATAACATTAAATTAAATATATATCATTGATAAAAACTCAATTCTAAACATTAAGGAAATTGTTTGAAAATACATACTAATATAGAAGGGCTGATGAAGTCGGGAAAAGATCCAACACCAACCTCTCTAAGTCTTTGTTTGGTTAAAATATTATATGCGACTTAATAATGTAGTGGAATTAGTTCGATAGATGTCGATTGCCATCCATTCACTTTAACTAGAGGCATTAGTTGTTATTCCCTCCTTTGGTCGGTGTCGCATCATTTGAATCATCCGAAGAATTATCCTCATTCGATTCTGTTTGATCTTTTTCTTCAATTTCCTCACCTTCTTCGTCACCTTCGGGTTCATTCAGCATCTCCGTAAGAACAGACACCAAATGTTTGGCTTCTTCCAATTGTTGGCGCGAAGTGTTCAATTCCTCTTCCAAACCTTCAATACGTTCATAGAGACGTTGATTTTCTTCAAGGCTCTGTTCCAAGGCTTCGCGACGTTTCTCAGCCAAACGTTCCCAATAATGTTCACCCGGTTTGGCCTCACCAATTAGGTCTTCGGCGGTGATTTTCTTCGACGACGTCGTTTCGTCTTTGTTGTTGGATGATTTATTGGGACTCGTTTGAGTCTCAGCAACTCGTGTCTCGACCTTCTTACGTTTCGCATAGTCTGTGCTGGCAGACAATGTGGTCTCGGTGGCTGCTTTAAGGCGACTCAGCTTGTCTATTTGTGGACGTCCAGTTAAGTTTTCCTTATCGGTGGCTACCCCCTGCAACACTTTCAGGGTTTTCCGTTGATTCTTTAGATTTTCCTGCTGTTCGGCCGCCGACTCGATCTGGATGAAGACTTTCTTTGCAGCAATGTTAGACATTTTCACAAAATGGTTTCGTAGTGTGGCGCAGCAGTGGCGATAGTTGTAATAAATTAGTCACAAAAAAATTCGAACGTTTTTTTTTCTAATATCTGATTTTTGATCGTTTACTCACGCGAGTGACGCTTTCATCTGTTGGAATTCGAACGTTATATTTTCCGGCAATACACAATGATCAGCAAATGGTGGAGTATGGTGGTGGTTTTTATCTTTTGTCTTCAAATGTCAAAATATGGCGCCCTTTTTGTTTAAATATGACTGAAGTTGGTTGTGGTTGAGGTGAGGGGAGCAACAAATGTGTCAGATGAATGACAGATGGCGTTGTTAGGTTAGGATTTATGAAATATAATTATTTTTATAATAAATAACTATTATTTATAAATAATTATATATGAATGAAAGGCATTTTACTTTATTAGGTGTGTTCATGTATTTTATTTATCATGTTATAGACAAGGACATTTAAATTAAAGTTGCCTTAAACTAAACAATTTTATGGAGTGATTTGTGCACAGTGAGAGGTATTTTGTTGAGGTTTTATTTACAGTAATTGACTATTTAATAATTGGTCAGTTCCCGTACCGCAAGAATCTACTATTTTTTACAATTTTACAATAAAATGTTCATTATGCAGGTTCCGAAACATATCAAATAAAATAAATATTTCATGTTCATGTTTTTTATTTGTCAAAAATAGTTATAAATTGCGAAATTATTGGATATGAAATCCAAATTAAAAATGCTTTTTACTAAACAATTTTATAGAGTGATTTTGGCACAGTGGGAGTTTTTTAATTAAGATTTTATTGACAAAAATATTTCCACAGCCGTTGTTTCTATTATTTATTTTTTATATTGGAATTAATCATTCATCTCGAAAAAATTTCAAATATATTCCACCTTTGGCCTGCAGCATAAAGGATTTCGGATCGAATTTGATATTTTTCACAGTACGAGAACAAGTCTGGACATAATAAAGTCTTAGGGTATGTGCCAAGGCCAATTTCACTTGTAAAAGACCCAAACGGCTGCCAATACAAGCATGCGGTCCAGTTCCAAAGGGTTGATAAATCATTGGATTAATATTTGCCATAGAAGAAAAACGCTCCGGATTGAAGTGATCCGGTTCAGGCCAATACTAAAAAATTTACAGTATTTAAATTAAAAATTTCATTGTAAAGACTTAATTACCTTTGGATCACGATGTAAACCCAATATCGAAACATAAACCGGCATTCCATGGGGTACAAAAATATCTTCATTTAATTGAAATCCGTATACCGCCGTACATTCACGATTAATAAATGCTGCTGCGGGATACATTCTCAAACCCTCGCAGAGCACCATTTGAAGATATGGCAAGGCTTGAAGTTCTTCATAGGACAGTTCAGTTTTCTCACCAAATCCTTCTTTTAATTCCTGTCTCAATTTCTGTTGTATATCCGGTTGTTTGGCTAATTCATAGAGGATAAATCCCAGCACTGATGAAGACGTTTCAAATCCGGCCAACAAAAATATGGCAACTTGGGAAGCTATAAAATCTTTGTGTTGTGAATAGTGTAGAGGATCTTCTTGATATTCCGCTTGGAATTTTAATAAAACATCAAATAAATCTCCCTGGGATTTTAAAGATGTCGAATGGTGGGATCTCTCCTTGCATATTTTCGAGGTAAAATTACGCATAAATTCCATATAGGATTTACTAAATACCTTGGCTCTAACCCAAAGCGTTAGGTGAGGAAGAAAGAAAATCATGAAAAAATCGAATAGCCGGATTAAATTGATATTAAATAAATCCAATGTTTGTTGCCTTAAAATCGAATGTCCTTGCTTCAGACCCTTAACATCAACACCATAATGCAAAATCGATGTTAGATCTGTGGTAAATAGGGAAAACATTTCCTTTACTTCAATGATGGCACCCTTGCCCTTCTCACTTTGTAATTTTTTTGATAGAAAGCATTCCAACTCCTTTACAACATCTAACATTAGCGGATACATGCGTAACTTAATTTTTCCCGTGGTAAACATTTCCGACATTTTCTTACGACATCCCCGCCATATGGAATATTTTGATAAAGGTAATGTTAGAGATCCCATGGCATCGTGAACTGCATCTGCAGCCTCATAACGATTTTGAAATTTATCGAAATTCTTTATTAAAACGGATTTTATTAAATCAGCATCACGTAATATTAAGGCTGGTTGATGTAGAAGATATATTCCTCCGGCTGGAGAAGATTTCACATGTTCATCTTCATAGAGTCGTTGAAATAATTCTCCAAAACTTATTTTGGAGGAAAAGAGATCTTTTAGATTGCCGACAAGGGGTAGAGGTTTGACATATGGTATATCACGTCTTTTCCAATAGTCCAGTTTATTTTGTATATATATCGTTACTAAGAGCGGAAGAAGTATGATGACTATAGGTACAATAATCAAAATCATATTTTAGAAAACCTGAAAAAAGAATAAAAATTATTGCTCTTACATATCTCAAAAACATTAAAGACACAAGAAAAAATGTCATGCTTCACACTGGCGAAACATTCGCAAAAGTTTTCTGCACTCATAAATCAGAGTTGTATTCGGTGATAAATTGTCCATTGTAACCGCCACGTTATTTCATTCATTTCCGATTAGTAGTAGTATTTCTAGTAGTACTTATCGAACATTAATTATCATAATTTAATATTTTATTAATTAAATATCTTTTTTGTCATATTTTTGTGACACATCATATCAATATCTGTTTTCAGCATTATTTATAATTTAGTTTTGTCTATATTTTCTAAAACATCCTTGTTTTTTAGCAAAACTTACCGAATTGCGTACTTCAAAAATCTGTTGCGATATAAATGAAGATAACTTTGTGATTGATCAATTGAACATGTCTAGTGAACACATAAGATTCTGATCTTCCCTTTTTTGCTTCGAATCTTCCCTTTGTTATTGTCATTTCTCGAAGTTATGCAATACAGTAAAAAAAATAGAAATTGTAACAACTTTAAAATTGATTGTAACATGCAATATCATTGTAATGCAATCTCACGATTAGCTGTCCGACTTTTTTTTTTTGTTATTGAGTTTTTTTTTTTTTGAGTAAAGCTGTCTAGTTTTAATTTAGTGTTAATTACTATTTTAAGGGTTTAGGGAAAAGTACATGGTACAATTATAAAAGGTAACAGCAAATCCCAGCTGAATTGATTCCAACGTAATACTAGTGTCAATATGAATTTTACAAATTATGTTTTTAAAAATCACCGAACAGGAAAATTGGGAACAATTTGAAATTGTTCTTTATTAAATGTGCTCCTGAATTCTAAAAAAGGAAGCAAGTTTCTTTCTCTCTCGTAAACGCTTTTTTTTTGAAGCTAGTCGACCTAGGAACTTCTTCTTTATAGTTAACTGATTAACCTGCGCTTCTATCAAATCAGTTTTCATATTTACGTGGTGCCATGGTACAATAATACAAGGTAGGGCAGCTTGAGGTGAATAACAAAAAAGCAACTATGCACGTGTGGCCTCTTCTGCCAAAATAAAATAAATATACACAACAAGTGTTTGTGTTTATTTGAGATTTTTTCAACACAAAACTAAAAACGCTGGATATTTTCTTGTTTCTATTAAAGTACGTGCTACTCAATTATTGCTAAGGAAGTGTATTAGTTTTAAAAATGGGTTTAAAATCCGATCTTTTCTTCCGAGAATTAAATGAAAGACCACAAGAATACGAAGTCCATAAATACATATTTCCTTTTAATGAAAGTGATTTTGTGAAGATAACTCTTAAAACTATCTTCCAGGTCGGAAACATTCTTCTTTATAATTATTTGATTCATTTGGACTACAAAATAACGATTTATTTTCTTCAGTTCTCATACGTCATCCTCATAGAATTTGCGCAGCGCCCAATTAGGTGTTTCTCATCATCTACATAGGTTTTAGAAAATTTCTTCTCTCTGTCGATCTTTGTCAGATATGACATGATTAAATCACACCTTTTGTCTGTAGACTTCAGGAAGACCTCTTCCGCTAGGAAGACCTTGCGGAATGCACCTCCATACAATCCTTGGTTAAAAAATAATGACACACTTACTGAAGATGTTTTAATTTTTATATTTTTTGATCGCTGAAAGGAAGACACACAAAATAATTTCAGGTGTGCGTGTTAAAATTGGCAAAAAAAAATCAAATACGACTCTGAAATTCTTTTATAGTTTGACATTTAATAATAAGTAACCTTAATACATTTGCTTAAAACTGCTTGTACATTAGAACTTTTTACCGGGTTAACTTTAAGGGGACCCCCCCCCCCCCCCAAATGTCAAAAAATTTTTTGATATAATTCGAATCTACTCTAATTCTAGAATGTTCCTACAAAATTTCAAGTGAAAATCTCAAGAACTCTTGAAGATATAGCCGATTTATTGTGTCGGCATCAAGTGACGGCTAAAGGGCTTCTCAAACTTTAAACGCGTTTTTCTCAAAACGAATGGCGGGCATGATAACTCAAAAACTAATATTCCAATCGGTTTTAAATTTTGACACGTTTCTCTGGGAGTGTGTAGCCCTCGTATGAACTAGGATAAAGCTAATCGGTGAAGATCTTCCTTATTTTTTAACTTAGTTTGTGGTAAAAAATAGGCGATTTTCCATACAAAAATTTTCAAAGTTCCGCCGTTTTGTTAATTGCGAAGTCAATAATCCTAGTTCATACGAGAGCCAAACATGTCCTCTTTCTAACACAGTTGGAATTTTCGGATTCCGATGTTCCAGTGAGGAGTTATCATGCCCGCCATCAAAAATATGGACTTTTCTTTGAACCCAAAAAACAACAACAAACCAACAACAACAAATTTTGGTAAATTATTTGTCTTCCTTTTTAAATCTTCAAATATATATGTGCCAAGTTACAAACCTTAACAAGCATTGGTATTCATTTACCAGCCCATTTAAAATCTTAAAAATAAAAAATCGAGAATGGGTGGGGTTCCCTTAAGAGGATTTATTTGACATATATGTAATAGAATTGACAATATAAACCCACTGGGTTAACGAAACACGGTACAATGTAAACACACTTTAATCTTCTATTTTATTACCCTATTATGAAATATACATTTTAAATTGCGCCAAAATCTCGTAATCCTCAAAGTCATTTGATGCGCATGCTGTTTCCTGGAAGTACTGAAGGCTATCTATTAAACAGGTCGTGTTAGAAACAATCGTTATTGGCAATTTAGGTTTAAAATCCCTCATACTCTAATTTTGATAGCTCATGTAAAATTATCTGGCCTTGTCAAACGGCCTGATTATTGGGCCATGGACCACATTTACACAGAACATGTTTTATAAAAAAATAACAATTAATCGTCGATAAAATTGTTTACTACGATACGATAATTATGTTCACAAATCCAATGAATTATATTTGACGTAAACGCAATGGAATTGACATTTGACATAGAGTGGATTCGTAAATCTAAACACAGTTTACATGTCAAATTAAGGATTTTCGTAAAACATATTCATTCTAAATGTGCACAATGTTTCGGAGGCTTATGGTACACTTCCATTCAATGTTTTTTTTTTTTTTATTATAAAATGCCACTTGTTTGTCATTTCGTTTAATATATGTCATATAAATTAGTTGTTCTTTACATGTAAATTTAGTTATTTGTTATTGAATGGAAAATAAACAATCTCATTGAAACAATGAGATATTAGAATTTTCATTTTCTAATACTTTCACTTCAGTTTACAATTGAATAATCAAAAAATTATTATTTTTCAAACCGGTTATTATACGCATTTCACATTTTGTGAATTGCATGATCAAACACCCGCAATTGGCATGCATACTGATATGTGCAAATATATACAAATCATCAGCAAATAGTACGTTGACTTCTAACTATAATTATAAAATCATCTATCACGTTATGCGTCAACCACTATTAAAATCAACGTCATGCAACGAAAGTGACAGAGGAATGTTGGCACATACGAGTATACACATGGGCAATACCTGACATAATCAGTCAATCTAAATTTGATTAGCCTATCCCTATCAATCAAATGAAATGAATTAAAAAAAAAAACAAAAATAATTCTACTCATGCAATTATTTATTTATTTATTTGTTATTTCATAATTACATCGATCTATTTACATCATCATCATTAGTTATTTTGTTTTATTTCGAACCCATTAACTTAATAGTGTAATATATAATAAATATATAATGTAGAAATGTTAAGTTATTTATATCACAATTTAGAAAATTTAAGTTAATTTTGTTGACGGGCCTTGTCATAAAGTTGATCACGCACCACATTCAGCGTTATACCTTGTTCAAATTGTAATACCAAGGCTTTGGCATCAAATTGTTCACATGTTGGAGTTTTATCACACACTTCGACACGATGATTTTTCAGGAAATGTACCAATCCGATTTTGGTTTGTAATAAACCAATACGACTGCCAATACAATTGTGTGGTCCAGTACCGAATGGTAAATAGGTCATGGAGGTTTGCAACTGTTTGTTTTCACTTGTAAAACGTTCCGGATCAAATTCATTGGGATTGGGCCAATACTGAAAACAATAAAACAAAAGATAATTAGTATTTTATTTTTTATAAAAATATGTCATCAATATGACCTATAATTGGTTTTGAATTGTTTTTTGTGTTACCCAACACGTTTTTTGTTATAATTATATGGAAAATGCATTGATTGATTATTTCTTTTCGGACTGTGTTGTAATCTGGTGAATGACATATACATATATGACAGCACATTGGAATTTATCATTTTATCGATCATATGCCATTGCACTTTTTAATATTATTGGCAAAATAAAAAATGTGCAGAAGAAATCCTAGGCAGTAATAAATTGTGGAAATGCAATTTCGAAAAAAATATAGTTGGATAACCACTATTACTGATTTCCCGGATTTAATCAAATACGTCATCTTGGTAATGTCAAGAACTTAGATGATAGATTAAAAGTTGGATATACGTACGAGGATTTCACGCAAGGCTTGTTTAGTTGGCATTGCTTAATGTAAAAGAATAAAATAGAATGGCGCCCAAAATCAAACTTGACTCTGATACTAGATTTACGAAATCCACTCGATCTCAAATGTCAATTCCATAGCGTATACGTCAAATATAATCCACTGGATTTCTGAACATTATTAACGTGACGTAGACCCTATGGAGTTGACGTTTGATATCGAGTGGATTTCGTAAATCTAGTCTCAGAGTCAAGTTTAAGTTTGGGCGCCATTCAATTTTATTATATTACATTAAGCAATGCACTACTTTACTTGCTTTGCCTTTCCTCCTCGTACGTATCTTTAACTTTCGTTATTCCTTATAGTATGTTTACATTTAACCGGATTTCGTTAACCCAGTGGGTTTCAATTGTCAATTCCTTTGTATATATGTCAAATAAATCCTCATAAAGTAGGTTAACCAGGTAAAAAATTCTAATGCATTTAATGGCGAGAATCCTGCATGAATGCACAAATTTATACTAACATAACATTTTCCCTTTTATAATATCGAAGAAAATAGTAAAAATTATTACATTCTTGCAGTACGGAAACATACCATATGTCTCCCCTTAAGAACTAATAGTACGTTTACATTGCACCAGATTTATCGAATCCAGTAGATCTAAATTGTCAATTCCGTTACATATATGTCAAATAAATCCTCATAGAGGGTGTAAATGCCCTTTAATATAATACGATATTGACAAAAATATGAATTTCATATTCCACTTACCTTCGGATCCCTTTGAATAGCATAAATTGGTATATAAATAGGCATACCATCCGGCAAGGTATAATCATAGTGAGGTTTTAAACTAAAACCTTTTGATACACCCGCCGGCTTTTGATGTTCACGATCTAAAAATGGTAACACAGGATATAGCCGCAAAGTTTCCTCAACCACCATATTTAAATATTCCAATCCCTGAATTCGCTCATACGTCAACGTGCCATTCTTTTCACTTAGCATAGCATCACATATTTCCTTACGCAAACGTTCCTGCAATTCGGGCTTCTTTGACAGCTCAAAGAGAGCAAATGCCATTGTCGATGATGACGTTTCAAAACCAGCTGTCAAAAAGACAGCTGCCTGAGCCACTAAATAATCACTATTCTGCATAAAACTGTGATTATTTTTCGCTGCTTCTTTCTTCAAGGCTACCAGGATATCAATTAAATCATTGCGAGGAATACCGGTACGTTCACGCTCTGTCATAACATGGGTAATGGTGGAACGTAAAAATTTCGAAAAATCTTTGGTAAATATTTTCACACGCAACAGTGAGACGAATTTGGGTAGGAAAAATGCCACCGAAAAATCAATAGCTCGGGGTAGAGTAAAGAGAAAGAATTTGCGGCATTGGGAACGGAATTCGCCATCGGGATTTTTAATACTGTTGGCGTTGATGCCAAAGGCAATTGTAGAGATTAGATCTGTGGTAAATGTGGCACAAATTTCCTTAACTTCTGTCGTGAAATTCTCGCCCTTGAGAGATAAAAAGTTTTCCAGTTGAGAGGCAACCTGAAATGGAAATAATAAATATTAAATTGATTTGAAATTAAAGTACTAGGAAGTAGAACTAGACAAATTACAAAATTGTGTTCGGTGATAATTTTCTTATTGATATGTTTATTCTATTTGTATTTATAAAAAAATAATTTGAACAGAATTTTTGTATTGCTTAAAATATGGAGTGTTTTAAGATAAGTGTCTAAAATCCCCTACAATGCTGATAAAATAGTTGTTGAGATTTTATGAGGAACATAATGGGAAAACTCTTCACATTTAAAATGAAAAAAGAAAAAAGTTTAATAATACAAATATTATCTTTTTGATATTGGGCTAAGTAAGACTAGTTTAAGTAGTTCTTAAGTAAAAACATTTTACAATAAAATCAGAGTTTTAATTCTGTTACCATTTCGAAAGTTTGAGTGATTTCTTCTCAGTATTATTAAATCTAATATAATCCATTCATTTTCCCTTTTTTATGTCAAATAAATGGAACAATTAGTTGTGTTTTTTTTATTTATGCTGACATATCAGGTCACAGAGCAGAGTTGTATTCTTCTTCATCGACCTCTCATAATCCATCTTATATAAGAGTGCCTTTAGACTAAAAAATCCACTCGATTTCAAATGTCAATACTATAGCGTATACGCCACTTTAATCATGATCACAAATCAATTGGATTATATTTGACATATACGCTATCGAATTGACATTTGAGATCGAGTATAGATTTCGTAAATCTAAACGCAGTTTTACAGTATCATTGTCTACCTCTTGTACCTCTATAACATGGCTATTTATTTTTAAATCTCGTTTGTAATTGTAGACAATTTTAAAAGTCGAGAAGGGTAGTTGTAGGTTTTTTTACATTTAGTGGTCTGTTCCCGTACTGCAAGAATCTACTACTTTTTACTACGATAACGAATTTTCCTTTATGATATCGAAGAAAATAGTAAAATCGATTAGATCCTTGCAGTACGGGAACAGACCATAGATGTTTTAGTAAAAACTGTAATTTGAATTGTCAATAACATTGTTTCAGATGTCTTCCCTCAAAAAATAGAAATCTCTCACTAAATATCTTTTAAAATTTTCATATAAAAAATAATAACTTCCTTACCTCCAACATCAATGGATACATTTGTTTCACTTTCCCACTGGTAAACACTGGCGATATTTTCGTTCTCAATTCCTTCCAATAATTATTGCGAGCAAAGAACATATTATTATTACCCAAACAATCATTGTGGGGATCACATCTTCCATAACGATTGGTGAATAAATTGAAATCCTTAATTAGCACCGATTTTATTATTTCCGGATCACGCATAATCAAACCGGGTTGATTGAATATGTAAATACCGGCGACAGGCTCATCACGCACCTTTGGTTCATTATATATATCCGATAAGTGCAGACCAAAACTGGTCTTTAAAGTAAATGCCTCCTTGGTATTTCCAATGAATAGGGTGGGTTTAATAAACGGTATACCATGACGCTGCCAATAGCGATATGTTCGACGACACCACAAATAGAGAATACTTAACAAAAATGTAATCACCAATAGAATACTTGAGGCAATCATGTTATCTTTGAGGAATTAATTTATTATTATCTATTGCGTAGTTAGTTTAGATTGTATTCGAGGAATATTTAATGTTTTAATATATTTTTTATTTCACTATCCTTTGAAAGGATAATCCATGAATATTTTATTGAGATTACTTGAATTTTGGTTTTATTTGGAATGTTTTTCTTTTTTTACTTTTTATCCTGTCTCCTATTTTACCGAATACAACATTCCGGAAGACGTTATTCTTTAGAACTAAATGAAATTACATTATCTTGTAGATCTTTTATAGAATTTGCAAGCATTTCAACAAAACAACTCATTTACACACCTATAAAATAGGGTTGTCAATTGGAGATTTTTTTTCTCCAGCAGCAAGTAGCAGTTGAATATGTAATCATCAGGAATTTTCACTAACAAAAGTGAATATTCGTTTTAAGCAATTTCTTCATCTACATTTTGGCGCCCAATTTACAAAAACCTCATTGTATCCGTATGTTGTGATGTGTATGTAAAATATAAACAAACAATTAATACAATGTTTATACGAATATAATATACAACCTAAAGAAATATATTTCATAATTGTTGGCCAATGGAGTTCATTGTCTTCATACTTGGCAGGATGCCAAATGTTTTCTTTTTTTTTTTTGGCAACAAAATGTGCTCTCAATAATTTTCTTATTGTTAAGCATCGTGTAAAGACCCTTCATATGCAGTATATAACACTAAACGACCGTATTTTTTATTTTAGGCTATGTGAACGTTATGACCACATATCAAATCTATTGTCTTATACAGTGTTTGGAATACAATTATTTATAACATAGGATCAATCATTGCTATTAAGGTAATAGTGCTTATAGATTTACGAAATCCACTCGAATGTCAATTCCATAGCGTATACGTCAAATATAATTCTCTGGATTTGTGAACATGATGGCGATTTTGTAGTCTAATCTTGTGTTAAGGGCATATTTACACCGAAAATGCCTTGATCATAAAACACATTCGTTGTAAATACGCCTTTAACATCAATTAAGTGGTGTACCGACCATTCAATACGAGTGTCATTTGTTTTATTTTTTGTTTTCATTGCACCAATATAACAGATGATGCATAAAACAGAACAGCTGATGCATCCACTTTGCAAACTTTCAACCTGTAATTATTTATTTTAAAAATCCCCTGATAAATCCCCATTACAAATTCAAAATCGAATACCCTAATTCATTTTCATTGTTGTAAATGGGATTTTTTTACGTACTCAAAAAAAATAATAATAATAAAAAAAAATCACTTAAGACCTCCCCCTTTATTCAATTACATTCACAATTGTGTGTGAATGTATATGATTTGCATTATTTTGCCGGTTATTATAGAAATTATTTTAGCGGCAAATACATGAATAACAGATTGCCTACCTAGCGTAGAAAAATAATATATAACATTATTAATATTGCCTGGGTGCGTTATCACATATCAATTTTCCATCTGTCCGAAGTGTCTATCATTCTAATTGTTTGCTATTTACATTTGACAGTGCTTCGCATTTACTACATCAGTTACAATTTGTAAACAAAACATTGTTTATTTATAAAAGGCTTAAGAGACTACTATCAGTAGTTGTAAGTATTTACTTACATGTGGATTTATTTGCGCAAATAATAGTAATGGAAATGGAAAATATATATATATATATATATATATAAAATGCAGAATCACTACATCTAGGGTTGAAAAAGAAAATATGTAAGTGGATTTGTTTCTATTTATTCCGACATAAGAAACCAAAAAAAGATTTGTATTTAAGATTTAAAGTTGAAAAGTTTACCATTTGGATCATTCACCAGTTCGTTTACGATAACAAAACGAACATTTTTACACGTTTTAGTTGTGTGTTGAAAAAATTTCAAATAAACACCACCACTTGCTGCGTTTGTTTTAGATATTTGACAGAAAAAGCCATTCCTAGATAGTTAATTTATTGTTATTCACCGCAAGTTGACATACCTAGTATTAGATCACGTTTAGACTACTAAATCCACTCGTTTTCAAATGTCAATTCCATAGCGTATACGTCACCTTATACGTCAAATAAATCCACTGGATTTGTGAACATTATAGTACGTTTACATTTAACCGTATTTCGTTAACCCAGTGGGTTTCAATTGTCAATTCATTTGCATATATGTCAAATAAATCCTGATAAAGTAGGTTAACCCAGTAAAAAGTTCTAATGTATGCCATTTTAAATCCAGTGGATTGTATGGTATTGACATTTGAGATCGTACTTGTATTTGATGTCAGCACTAATCAACAAAAATCAAATTGCCGTGTTGTTTTATTTAAATTTTGCCGAAATATTTTAATAAATTCATTATTTTCTTTTTTCCCTATTAAGTAATAGATTATATTATTCATATCTTTCAATAATAACAGCTATATAGCACTTAAATATTCCCATAAAATAACAGAAACATTAGAGCTTTTGGAGCGTTTTTCATTTCGTCCTCATTTCGTATTGAAGCATTCGATAAACGTCCTATCGATAACACACTGACAAACAGTAATTCGATTAATGCGAAATTTTGCCAATCACTAGCAAATCTTGTTTGTCATTCTGCATTGAGGAAATATTTGTCCGGTCCGGCTAGTAACTTTTCTTTCATATAAATAAGTAAATAAATCCATATAATCATGGCTTTGGCTGAAATTTGCAATATCTCCGATGCCCCATATATGAAACTGCGCAATTTCACAACATCCGATTTGGAACAGGAATCGCAACGTTATGTTTCCAATCTTGTGAATCCATACGTCTTGCAAGCACCGCCATTCGAAAATCCCATTGAAAATCTCAACAAAATCCAAGCATGCAGTGACAAGTCGGGCATCAAAATTGAATTCGATCATGGTACCACAACATTGGGTTTCAAATACAAGGGTGGTGTCATTTTGGCTGTCGATTCTCGTGCCACTGGTGGTCAATTCATTGGTTCGCAGACCATGAAGAAAATTGTCGAAATCAACCAATTCCTGTTGGGTACATTGGCTGGTGGTGCTGCCGATTGTGTGTACTGGGATCGTGTATTGGCCAAGGAATGCCGTCTACATGAGCTGAGGAATAAAGAACGTATCTCTGTTGCAGCTGCCAGTAAAATTATGGCCAATATTGCCCATGAATATAAGGGAATGGGTTTGAGTATGGGCATGATGTTGGCTGGCTACGACAAGAGAGGCCCTGGTCTATACTATGTTGATTCTGAAGGTTCCCGCACACCCGGTAATGTATTCTCCGTGGGCAGTGGTTCCATTTATGCTTTTGGTGTCTTGGATTCTGGCTATCATTGGGATTTGGAGGACGTAGAGGCTCAAGAATTGGGTCGTCGTGCCATTTATCATGCCACCTACCGTGATGCCTACTCGGGTGGTATTGTGCGAGTCTATCACATGACACCCAATGGCTGGATCAACATCTCCAATACTGATTGCATGGAATTGCATTATAAATACGCAGAGGAAAAGAAGAATATTAAACACTAATTATAAGATATCCATTTTTTCGCAGAATTAAATTCTTGTAACTAATATACAAATGAAATAAAACAAAAAAGATTTGGATTTTTGGCAACCAAAAAGTTTTGTTATTCTTTTATTGAAATTATTGCAAATCGGCGAGGTGAGACCACAGCATCAAAGGCAGCCAATATATAACTTTGTTTATGGCCATTTTCTAATAAGAAAAGTAGGCGATCTAATAAGATAATAGTCTCGAGGACAGGAGCAAATGACATTCGCAGCAAATAAAACATATCCAAATGGGATTTATGGTGTTCCCCTTCTGCTGCAATGGTGTCTATTCTTTCTTGAGAGATCACTTCCAAAGAGTGATGTTTCTTTTTACATAGCTCCACATATTCTTGGAAATTGTTGAATTTTCTTAATTTACCCACTTGTATGGCATCCTTCATTTCGGGCATGGCCTCACAAACCAATATTTCAAACAATGCTCTATAGAGTAGGGAAATGTTGGGTAGTTCCTTACTGGCCTTAGTACGATCTGTTGATTGCACCGCCAACATGCGGGCATTTCTACCCAAAGCTGTTCGCTTCTCTTGCAAATATGAACTGAGAGGGAAACCAGTTTCTGGATTCATATCCACGATGTGTTTGTTGCCAAAGAATTCTTGTCCAGAATATTGCTCCTTTAGCAAATGATAACAACAGCCAATATTACAGAGTATTTTGCATTTTTCCTGGTGATGAAATAATTTCAGGCAGGCTGATGCAAGATTGCCACAGGTATGTAGACCTGTTAAGCATACTGATGTGTGCTGAGTGGATACATTGGGAAAATGATCATCTAACAGACTGTTTATATCCAAATCGGTGGTTATAAATTTGTCCACGGTTTTGTAATTGTCATTATCTCCAGTGGAGTTAATTTGGGTTTCATTGTCTGTGGGCTTTTGTTTTTGTCTCCCTCTTCTTGGTGGTGTTATGCCCTTCGACTCTAGTTCTGCTCTCTCCTTGAGACCATTCCATGCTTTCTAAATAAATTTTAATTTAAAATCATTGATAAATAAATTGGGGTTGTTGGACTTACCTTTAGTTTTTTATTCCTTTCCAAGGCATTTTCTGTATTCGATGGATTGCTATCAATACCCAGCACATTGTAACCATATTCCAAGGCCAAGCGTGAAGAAAGATAACCTTTGCCATCTCCAGCATCCACAACTACTGTGTTACTGCCATTAGTAGATGTACCCTGAATCAGATCGTTTACAAGACTTGCTGTCATTTCAACCTATAATCAAGGATAATTTTAGTATATAGTCATAGGTAGTGTTAAAAAATAGACCTACCTCATGCTTCTTCTTTTCACTCAAAAATTCCTTAATGCTAATTGGATGTTGTGCCAGTTCCGTACTAAGTTTTAGTACACATTTTGTCAAATCATCTTTTGTAAGTAAAATTTCTTTAAAATTCTCAAGGCAATGGGCCTGGGTCGTTTGTATAAATGCCACAGTTTCAGGGAACTTTGTATCATCAGATATCTGATCTGCCCAAAATACTGATTCAATACATTGTTGTATATCATCGGGATTTTGTAACTCCTGTTGTATTTCCTTGGGTACAAAATTAACCCAATGTTTGTCGGTTATAAAATTGACCATATGGCAATTTACCCATGGCCAATAGGGTTCCATTAACTTTAATATGGCATCGAGGCGTTTACATATTTGTGGCATCGACATTGTTAAAAGGAGAAGTCCTTCTTTTCCTCTTTTGTTACGTTATCGTTTGCTGTACTATTACCACGTCCCGTCAAAACCAGCAACTTCTTATTTAAAGTTCTAATATTTTCCACTGCCCCAATAATATCCGCCTCTGGATCGTTTTCTCGTGGAAATGTTTCAATGGCTGTGCGTATTTGTTCCAAACAACGTTTTACACGTTCTGTGTGTTTCTTCGGTTGTTGTTGTAGAGCCACCACTCGACCAAATATTTCTGCTAATTCTTCACCAAGTTGTATGCCTTGGGCATAACCCAATCGGTACCCTTCGTCGTTACCTTGTTGACAGCCCACCGAAAATCCTTCTTTATAACTGGCTTCCACTAAATGATTCTCAGCAAGAGCTATATCATCGAAAAGATCATTGATGTCACGTTCTTCGTTGGTGGCGGTGCTGGACATGATTGAGCACAACGTGGAATCGCTCTTTTGCTACAACAATCAACAACAATGAGAGTAAACAAAAACAGCTGATATTTGTGATACTTTGCCTTGGGTGGAAAGTAATCGGTAATCGATAAGTATGTATTTGGCATTTTAGCTTTCTCTGGCAGTTAGAATTGGTGGGAAAATGAATGAAGCTGCAAAATCTTTGAAAGGTAATATTCTTTTAAATAAACGCTTAATTTTGAAGATATCTTTACTATTAAACATTGTAGCCTTTTCATTATTAGTCAAATAATACAAAATTACATTTTTATTATATTTTTATTTCTGTTCTAGCATGTTTGGTTGCAATGTTTCCACACACAGACTTTGACGCCCTTTCTGTGAAAAATATCACAAGTTGATCCCTGGTAATTTTGAATAACGGTTTCAACCCTCCAATACGTGTTTGTGCATGTGTGTTTTGATACAAATTGTTTCAAATACCAAACCATTTTAAGAAACTTACAAAACAAAAGTGAGGTTAGAGTTGACTTTTGAGCAGGTTCAGACAAATATTTATGTGCATAAAAGTGGTAAGTTCACAATAATATGACAAAAATTACCATCTTTATTCATAATATCCTCTGTTGCAGAATAACATGTGTCAGTAGAACTTCGCAAAGATCGCGGAATAGTGTAATAACTTAAAAAAGATCATCGAAAAGAGGGATTATGTGGAAAATAAATATGAATTCTGCAAGTAATTAATGATTAAAAATAGTGATAGTTAAGAACAATATACATGAATTACAACGTTAAAATTTAATGTGCATTTAGTGAAATGCAGAATACAAGTGAAATAAGAGCAATGATAACAGAACGGCGGTAAGTCTTCAAAAATATTATTAAAATCGTATTATTTGAACCTTTGGGATATTTATACATATTTTATAATCTTTATTATAACATCACATACTCGAAGAAAACTTCTTCATGTTCATACAGTATTCGTAGGTATTGGGAAGCAATCATATCCAATTTGTTTATAAATGCGGAACAAGTTTTGAAATTTTTGGCACATGTAGTCCTTGATGCTCTGATTACAACGGTATACTTTTCTTTCGGAAATCGAAATTTTCGGACATATGGGCCTCCAAAGTTCCATTGGGACCCCTGTAATTTCTCATGATTTTTTTTTAATTCACTAAGGCTATATGGGTGTCAATTCAATGGGGCCCTATACTAGACTTAAGACAAAAATTCAACTGAAAAGTGAATTTATAATTCACCTGTTTTATAGCCCACTTCTATTTTTACAGTATTTAAATTTTATTTGAAAAAAATCAGCTTGATATATTAATTTGTTTTTCATATGTTAACAAAATCCATTACTTTTTAAAGAATTTTAGCTTGAAAACTAATCGAATTCTCGAATTTAGATACCTCAGATATTTCGGTACTGACTCATTCTCAATATTTTGTAGCTTGTAGTCTAATTGTTCAACCTACTTGTGCTGTAAATTGCTGTTCCGGATTCTTGGACAACTTTTGTTTTAATATAGACTCTATATTTGAATGATTAGCTGTAATTTGGCATTCGAGATTTTTAGAGGGTAGTATATCATATCCTCCATGTACTTTTTTTCGGCCCATATATTGTAAATCTCCCAAAATAAGTTCCTCTGGATTTTGTTATTAAAAGAATAATAAGGTTCTGTAAGACAATTTACTATGCCGGTCCATATTTTCGTAGACATAAGTTCACCACATGGTGTAGGGTATAAAAATCTCGGCCCGATCGAATTTTATAGTAATTAAAAAATTCTGCCCAGATTATTTGAATTTATCTCTCGGCATTTTAAATGTATCTTCAACTAAATTCGAAATCTAAATAAATACCCTTTTTGTATTCTCTTACGTAAACAATTTTGGTCTGATTTTTTCCCCTAACTTTCTACATAATTTGCAATTAATTTTTGGGAGATTGTAAAGGTACAATTGTGATTTCAAGTCTTTGTGGTCGTATGTATGTTTATATTTCACTATAAGTTAATATACCATGCCATCAATCTACTTTTTTTCTAGTCACTACAATTAATACCTCTATCCTTAGTAAAGCGTGGGAATATATCTATTGATTGATTGTTTTTAATATTGAAAATGGTATGTACAAAAATCTATCAACTGATGGCAAAAACAATTAATTGAAAAAAGGGGACACTTTAGCCTTCAGGGTAGACAATCGATGAGAAATTTTAATAAATTAAACAGATGTTTACTTTGCTTTCTTCGTCTAACATAATTTGTTAAAACGTGGAGAGTATTATTGAAAGAAAAAATAAAAACTGTTTTCAATTTATCACAAAAAAAAATAGCATGCGTAATTAAAGTGAGGTTATTTTTCTATTTTGACCTCATTATGCATATTAACTAAGGTCATGGTTTCCTTTGCTTTTTTGGTAACAAAAAGTTTTAGCTAATTAGATTATTTGTATATCCTGTTTTTTGGTAATCAGATAGCGAACAGCTATTTGACTTTATTTGGCTTTTCAATTGCTATTTGATATTGTTTGGTTTGTTCGAAGTGTATAGGGTTATTGTATGAGGTTATATATTTACATGAAAGTCCTACAGAATTGAATTGTACATATTTCAAAATTAAGAAATATTTTTCAGGTACTCTGTAGGTTATTTGTTAAAAAAATAATATTTCGTTCTTTAAATAAAAATATTGATTTTTGAATGTTGAAAAAAAAAGAAAAGTAATTCACACTCAAAAGTAGTATCCATTATTCTTATAATAATATCAATCCCCAATTGGAAATTTTTCTTTTAAATTTCAATTAATAACATACTTAGATCATAATGAATTATTTTCTTTTTAAAAGTCTGTCCATTGACCTCCCCTTAGCCCTATTAAATTTCCATTGAACTTATTTAATAATATTGTAGTTCTTTAGTACAACAAAAACAACACACTGTTGCAGTTCCCATGGCGATACTTACCCCTCCCCTACTTATTTAAAGTACATATTTTTCCTAAGGAAGTTCTTTTTTTTTTTGTTATTGTTTTGGAAAAAAGGCGAGTTAGGAATAGTTTTCATTGATTTGTGGCAGGACGTGGACGTGTTGTTTGTGCGGTCATTAGTTTTTAAAATAAATTAAAAAATAATAATAATAAAATCCACAATAAATATGACATCGTCTTCGGCTCACAATCCCAGAGCTAATGTCTTTATTATTGTGAATTTGGGCTGTGAAATGCTCTACGTAATTGAGCAACGTTTACAGGCCCAAAAGATTGCCAAAGAAAAGTCAATACAAGGTGGGGAGCAAGAGAAAGAAAAAAATCATATTGACGAGTTTCCTTCCAATAACAAAAAGTTATTTATTTTTACAGTTCTACATGACATAACCTCTGTGTTGTTGGAACCCAAGTTCCTAAACTCCCTGATTGTGGGCTCCACAACCGTCGGTGGCCAATGTCTGACAGAGGACAATTGTAAATTTATGCTAAAGGATATTGCCACTTGTTCGCTAATGCGTCTGGATGATGTCTCAATGGGAAAGCTATGGAACCTCATGACCATGATATATAAATGGCAGCTATTCCACACCAAATATCAATATCAGCTGATGGATATTACATTTCGTCACTTGGCCGGTGTTAATCTCCTATATCCCAATGAGAAACATTCCCAATTAGTTGATGTGGCCAAAAATAGGTTATTGGATTTTTGGAACTCTTGCTCGGATGAGGAACAAAATAATATCTATTATACAAATAAGCTATGGCTGGAGCCGTATCATACGAAAATTTCGCTACTCATACGTTTGGGTTTCCAGGCAATGGATGGTACATTTTTCATAGATGTGGATCAGTCATATTTTAATGATTTCAAAGAAACGATTGGTGATAACATCTATGCCAAAAGTACGGAAATTGCCCAGCTAAGGAGACAAGAATTGGCACCAGTGTCCACCTCAGCTAGCTGCGTTAATCAATTGGCTGATATGTTAAGTTATGCTCCAACAGCAGCTGGAGTTGCTGGCGCAGGAGCTGTGGGCGGCATAGATACAGATGATTTTAAGCCACTACATTATAAGGAGTTTCAAAAACAATTTGAAAAGAATTTACAACAATGTAATATTTTGTTTGAAGATTTGGATGTTAATTCGCCAAATGCTGGCAGCAGCACACACAGTGGTGAAAGACCTGCAGGTGGTGGGGGGTTTGTCAATTTGAATGCCACCTATAACCGCCAAAGTTTGGACACAACAAGACCAGCATCTTCATCATCTTCCGTTGCCCAAAGGCAAATGCAAGTCAATGATAGTTGGAATAAATTGAATTTAAACTAAATTTCCTCAAAAAAAAAAAAAAAAAAATATCTCTCAACGTAATTGGAAGAATTTTAATACAAACTTCTTATTTTTCTATGAAGCGTAGTCCAGAGAAATGAATGCCATAGTTGAGGTTTTCCTCACCCAGCTGAATTGGTTTCCGTTGGAAAATTTCCCTTTTAAAACGTAGAAAAGTGTCAGCTCTTTTTCTGCTTTTGTTTTCAATTCGTTATATATTTTTTCTTTTTTTTTGTTATTTTACAATTAACAAAATTGTTTGCTGTTAGTATTACACATTAAGGGGGGAGGTGATGGTGAAAGAGTAAAAAAATAGGAAATTATTAAATCAAAATTTTTCTTTTTTTCGAAGAAAAAAAATAAAGTGTTTTTGCGTGGAAGTTTTTTTCATTCTTTTTTTTAATTTAAACAAGACGAAGAAAAAAATAGTTATCGTTACGATTTATAAATGGTTTACTTATGTCATTTAAAAAAAAAAATAATAATATATAATAATAAAAAGTCGTATATAAATGTTAAAGCGAACAATTACTGTGTATGTGTGTGTGTATGATCAAACTTCTAAAGCAATACAATGCAGGATTAGAAGAGAGTAATAATTAAGGAAACACAATGAATAATGTTTTTTGTTTTGTTTTCTGTTGTTTTTTGTTTCTTTTAAAAAAGACTACATGCAAATTTGTTTTTGTTTGTATGTTTTTTCTTCTTCTTCTATATAATCGATGCAAATTGTTTTTGATATATGTTGCTTTTCTCCATCTTCTTTTCAATACGTTAACGTATTTCCATTTGTTTTGTTTTTGTGTAGATTTTCAAACCTACATCAGTATTTTCTCTTTATAGTTGTTGTTGTTTCTGTTATATTTCTGTTCTATTAGAAATGCTTCTTGTTATTGTGGTTGTTGTTGATGATGATTCAGCAATTGTAATGTTTTAAAAGTTCGTCACTAACTTTGAAGGTATTTGGTGTCCTCTCCAAATCTTCTTTTATAGCTCGATACCTGGCTTCGGATGCAACCTCAAAATTGGCACTTTGATTCATTTTTGCCTTTAATGGCACAGCATCGACTAAAATGTGCAGAGCCATTTTAAGATATTCCTCGGCCGAGTTAACTTGATAGCAGGGATAGTTGTGACCATATCTTGTCAGAAATTCACAGTATTTGCGATAGTTTTTCAACGCGAAATTATAATCATAGGTTATTAGCTTTTCCGTGTGGGTCGTATCGATGGCATACGGCACATACATGTTGCGTGGCAGTTGCACAAATGTGGGATAATCCTTTTCACAGGCCTCACATTTACAGGTGAAACGGTATTGTATGGAGAGGGTTTCGATACGTTTCTTTTTGTCTAAAATTGCAAAGTGGGCTCTGCAAATTACAAAAACACACATTAAAATATGAATTAAATTTTATGATACCGCACAACATACCCATAATTATCATAAAGCACCTCACCAGCTTGTATGGGACGAAAGACAAAAACATATGCCTTACAGCCCTTATAAATACGTACAATATTCGGAGCACAAGAATGATTCAACAACGACAGGAAAGCAAATGCACCCGACGAATGTGTTGTATCGTCCTTGGTCTCATTCAACTGTTCCACCAAATCAATGCCATGCATATTCGAGGGCGATGTCTGCAAATGCCTAAACAGTAGTTCGGTAAAGAAGTTCTCACCCTCCTCACCACCCAAATATTCTTTAAGAGGTGTGAAATTGATCATAAAATGTTTAAGCACTGCACACACAACAGAACGTTGAAATAGATCCGATACCGAACGTAAATGTTGATTGGTAACAAGGCCATGAATGGCCCTGTAGTGTTCCTTGGCGGTGAAGTTGTTGTAATCCAAATCGAAGGCAGAACGATTTTGATTGTCCGGGTCCTCACAGAAGGCCATCAGTTCTTCAATGGTGGGAAACAGCTCCAAGGCGGACAAACATACACGCAGGGCAATGCCATGAATCTTATTGAACATGGTGTGGAGCAAATCAATAACAGGACATTCGTATTTGTGAAAAGTGTTGACGGCCTTTTCCCGACACTCTTCAGAACAGAACATGGCGGAGCAACAGCTTTCACAGGGTATTAGAGTGAGATAGTTTTCCACTTTGCAAGTGGCACAGCGTATGTAACGCATGGGCGGCAGCAGTGTCGAACAGAACGGTTCTTCAGTGGCAATTAAATCTCCCACGACCAACTTACGATTCGTACAAACATAACGTCCCTGATCGGCAGATTCTCTCAATTCCAAACAGCTGGCAATATTGGGCACTTGTGGGTGTGGCTCGAATTCCATTTTGAAATCATATGGCTGAACATCGGGTGGTTGTGTTTCCAATAGTTTCAGGCAATCTTTTTCACGTTTATCCAGTTTATGCATTAGTCGGGCTGGATAATTAGCTTTGCGTGCCAGTTCAATATTTTGCAAACATTCTTTATAACGTTTCCATTCGAATAGTACGGCGGAACGATTGGCATAACCAATGGCTATGTTTTCAGAACCTGGTTCGGAATAACAAATACTTTTGTTGTAAAGCTCCAAGGCCTAAAAGAATAATGGAATGGAATATTATTTGAGTTTTTGGGATTGGAAAATGGAAATAGTTTTGACCTTACCTGGAAATATTTTTTATTTTTCAATGAGAATTGCTCATTACCCAGCATACGATATTCGGAGCTGCGTTTATTCGATTTCTCTTCGCGTAGTTTAACATTTAGCCTTATTTTTTCAATATATTTGAAATCTTTTAAGGCATGTAGTACAAAGTTGACCTAGGCGGGGGAAAAGAAAGGAAAATGTTTATATTGAAATTAGGTTGTTTTAAAGAAAAAAAATTACAGCATTGATTAGATGAAGACCAACTCCCGAAACTTCATACCCTAACATTTCAATAACCTCCTTACTTCGAAAAAATATATATATCGCTACTCAATCCGCTAAAAATCAAAATCTTCGCTAAATTGCAAAAATTTGCGGGCCGGCCACTGGTACGAGTCACCGGGATTCTAACTTGCTACTTGTTTATTATTAGGTTTAAATGAATATGGCCAGGTATTACTCCTATATGCGATCTGTTCTCAAAATATATTTAAAACTTTTTACCAAAATTGAATACATTTATTGTGGTAATTCAAAATATATTCCGAATTTATAAATAATGCAATATCTCTTCTATATCAAAGTACCTGATTTTCTAGTATGCCTGACTTTTTTTTACAAAAACTGTGATCTGTAATGTTTATTTCCTAACCCCAAAAAAGTGTTACCCTCCTCTACTCATCCCTTTTTTATTATTCAGAAACCTTACCTTTGAATGATTCTCTTTCAGCTCATTAAATTTGCCCGATATAATGCCAATCAGCTTCCAGTCATTTAGCTTTTTTACCAAATCATCACTAACATCATAAACATCCATTTTGAGGGCTGCGATTGAATTTGCGCCACCGCAAATGCAGCACGTTTATTATCACTTGCTTGCTAGTGGGAGGTCTGACTGGGCCTCAGTTTGTTTTTCACACACGCCTTCTACCCAAACAGTCCTTCCGCTAATATTAGATAACCTCCACAAATAGAAAATTCCTTCAATTACAGGAACTCTATTTAATTTTTTTATCACTTAAATCCACACAAAAACTTTCCTGCAATTTTGCGGTTTCAGCTGCTGTGATTTGTATTTGCTCGAACGACAGATGATTTTGTTCAGGATTTTTCTATGGCCTAGTAGCAGCAGTAGTAGTGTCTCTCTTTGCCGACCGACAACCATCCACAATCCTGGGCATTTGTTTTGATTGTTTTTTCAGGGGGGCACGTCCCACTTTGTTGTGTATTAAATCGGCGAATTCCCTTTAGCACCTGGTTGGATCACTTGTCACAATTTATTTCTATATATTTCAAATTATAAAAAAATAATAAAAATTCCAATTCCACTTGATTTTTCTGTGCGAATTAGAGTAGGAATCTATAGATCGAGTTATGAATAATCGTTGTATTTCATCAAGGCAAGTGTTGCTGTGTTATCGATAAGTCTTTTGGACAAAAGTCGATCTAGTAATGCTCTTCACAGAGATACATCGAAGGGAAATTGTTATATATTTTCTAATTAAATCAAATGATTATTTATAATAACATTATATTTTGATTTTAAAAGGGTATTTATTTTGTCGGCTGCGTTTATATCTACATATATTGTTTTAATAAAATACGTCACCTAACCTGTAAAATCCTTTAAAGATATGCCAAATACAGTACGTGTTTTCATAAATTCCATCTTTTGCATATCTGTGTGGGAGGTGGTAAAAATATTGCAACAAATTTAACAGATTTTTTGTTGTACAATAAATCGTTATAGAACCCAATAAGGTTCAAATCTGTGATACTGGCCTTGAGAGACAACGTTTCTATAACGTTTTGCCACAAACCCGTTTCAAGTGACTATGCTGACATACCTAAAAAGGTACTGTACAATATGGAGGTACTGTTTTATTTGATATAAAAAAGAATACAGTCAAAATAGGTTATAATGGCAAGCGGTTTATGTAGACGTTATATAAGCGATATAAGCTTCGAATACAGCTCTGTTTTTCTATTTGATATTGGGAAATTGCAACCTACAAGCGTTAGTAAAAATGGGAAGAACTTCTTTCTTTTTTTGGATTTTGTCATAGATCACATATAGTAGGTGGAAATGGGAAAGAGTAGTCACCACATTCATACAATGATGAACTTAGGCTGTTCATAATAGTTCTGTTTTATGCCTTGGAACTTATATGAAAACAAATGCACTATCTTGCAGGCTCTTGAAGCAAACGTTTTACTAGATCACTGATTGTTGGTGTCTATTTCCACTGTTTTCATACTTCTCCGATGACCTTAGGCTGTTCAACATTGCCACTCTTTCTAGCCTTCGAAATTCTATGAGAACATATCATTCTCTTTGCAGGTTATGGAAATAGATTCTTGATTTTTAGTGTCAATGGAAAGGATCTGACCCTATTTACTTCGCCAATGGACTTTAGGTTCTGGAACTACTTCTTCGATGAACTTAAGCTGTTCTACATAGGTACTTCGTCTAGTCTTGGAATTTCTACGGTAACAAATGCACCCCTTTTGTAGGTTCTAAAATAGATCATCCATTCCTCACTTTCTTCCGAATAAAAATATAAAAACCCATACCTAAAATAGCTAAATGTACATCTATGTTTACTAATATTTCTTCCCGCATCACACCCCCATTCTCTCATTTTGTTTACCAATATTTATCCTGGCGGCAATATATCTGCTATTGTCGTAAACATCTATGAAACAAAATATTTTCTACAACACTTTAGGCAATATTTTATTATTTTCTGGTGTTGTTGTTGCTGTAATTTTGTAATCATTATGTACATAGTAACAAGACACGTGGTGGGTGCCTGTGTGTGGTTTTTATATCTGCTTACAGGAAATGAGACAAAAACAATTGTTGCTTCTGTTTGAACTCCTCATACTCCTCCTATAGAAAAACGAGAACAAATTTTTTCAATGAAAATATCAAAGTTCAGGCGTGTGCATATCATTTTTGTATGCTACAGAAAAATGTTAATTTTTGTTTTTCTTTTATCGTTTACCTCTATGGGCAAACAGCAATTTAATATTTAACTGATTTGCAGAGTTTTGAAAGGGAAGAAAGTTGCCAAGAGTAAAAGTTGATAAATTTTTGGTCAAAAAGTCTTAATTGAAAGTTCTTCACAGAACATGATGCGAAACTACTTCACATATCAAATTCTACCATTTTGTGTGTTGGAGATTAGGCTTACTTTCTTAGCTGGCTTGTGACAGAACATTTGTTCCATAAGCCAATCTTAAAAAATATTTTCAGGCAAGTCGGTCTTGTGTGCAGCTCTTCCAATTTGAAAGATTATGTTTCCAAATGCTTCCCCTTTTGCGCGAATTATCAGTTGTATCGCTTTTATATGGGACATCCTCATCCATTCTCACAACATGACCTAGCCAACGTAGTCGCTACAGCTCGACACGTCTGACAATGTCGACGTCTGAGAATAATTGGTATAACTCATGGTTCATTTGACCGCGATATTTACCATCAACTCAGATATTTCGAGAACTTTTCTTTCAAAAACTCCAACAACTGCCTCATCTGCTTACGCATGTATCAATACTTTAGATCCTGTTCTCTAGCCTTGCACGGGTAGTATCAGCGTCTTGTAGAGTGTGAGTTTGGTCTGGCAGGTGGTGGCCTTGTTTCTAAATTGCTTAGACCATAATATCATCTGTTGGCCAATACAATCCTTCTTCGAATTTCAAAACTGATGTCATTAGTTTTATTTTTGGCGGTACCAAGATATATAAAATCGTTGACTACCTTGAAGCTGTAGTTTTCAAGTTCCACAGTTAGTCCGAGTCTACTGGCCGTCTTGCGCGTTGATATCATCAGCTTGGCCTTCTCGCCATTTACTGCCAGACCTACTTTGGCACATTCCTTCTCAATTTGTTCAAAGTTGGCATCTACCGCTCGCAATGTTCGACCCATTATGTCGATGTCATCGGCGTAGGCGAGTAGCATGTGTTGTTTGGTGTACAGAATGCCATTTATATTAACAATTGCTTCTCGTATGACCAATTCCATCAGAATGATAAAAAGATCACACGACAAACTGTCTCCTTGTTCGATATTGAAGGATCCGAGAGGTTCCTTCCGTCTTTAACTGCTTGGTCATGCTTTATTATTGTCTGTCAATGGTAGATTTGCCAGGCCTCAAGATGCATAGCCGTCTTAATTTCGCAGGAATGCCGAACGCAGATTTGGGGTTAAACACCTCTTAGCGGTGGCTGATTAGGCTAAGTGAGATTTTTTAAGTAATTCATAATTGAAAAAGTTTCACAATAAAATCAGACAAGGAATCGCAACCGAGCAACGTATTTTCCAAAGGCCTCTTCCATAAATCACGTTACATGCAAATGTAGAATAAATAATGGTATTTTAAATATGAGTTGGCAACACTGGCAGAAAACGTGAATACATCATATTGATAATAAAGATTGCCACCTCGATGTTGGATTAAGAGATATATTAAGGTATAGCCGCTTAAGTGTTAAGTCTGTTCGACTTTTAAATTCTTAAATGGTCTGAATTCAAAACGGTATAAGCCATGTTTTTTATCTTTAAAAAATTAAAATATTTCAGTACGAAAGAACCCAATATTTGATAAATTCAAAACAAAAAACTTGTTTTTTTTTGTCAAATTTCCTCATAATATTTCAAAACTTCAACGAATTTAAATATAAATTACTTACTTTGACAGCTGCGTCATCAGTTGCGCTAAATGGACTACCTATTTATTGTGCCATGCTTCTTCTTTTAACGGAACTCATGAATACATTAAAAATGGCACATGCACATGACTCAATCATGGCAATTAATTTCTTTCATATTCTTCTGAAAACGTAGATTTAGTGTATTTTTATTATGAATGACTATATGAATTGGCAACACTAGTAGCAAAAAAATTTATCTTACTCTCTTTCTGTTTTCCTCTCAACAGAACTAATTCATTTATTTACTGTTAACTACATCATGCCATGATTTGTTAAGCCTCTACTATACTTAGGCATAGCACTCTTATTGGATTTTAAAGAAATAATTTTAAATATGAATTGGCTACACTGTCAGAAAACGTCACCATTTAAAATTGTGCTTCTTTTTTCATTCTCTCTTCTCCTTCTTCTTATTTTAACAGAACTCATTAATCCATTAACAATTACTGAAGATGGCTCAATTATGACATGGAATCATGACATGTTTTCCTGTTTCTCTTTCCCTTCGCATTTTCCCTCTCACTTTCACTGTACTTCCAGTAAATCCATTAACATTTTCTCTGATTGCCCAATTAAGAGCACAGAAAGTGTGTACGCGTACTATTTTTATAATTAAGAAAATAAAAGTGTATAATTTTATTTTTTAAAGTTGAAATTGCTTTCCCATGGTCTTTCTTCCATTTGCCCCCAGCATCACAACATTATGTTATGAGTTGCAAGAAGCAACAGTGTTGAAAGAACATGGCGTTTAATAAATATTTATGCAGTGCTGCAAGTTATGTCCTTTTGTTTTGTTTCTGTTTTTTTGGGAGGAATAACTACAGAACACAACCGCTGTGTCCTGTAGTAGTTAAACTTAGCAACAATGTGTGGATTGTAAAAAAAAAGCCCTTGAACCACACAATGTTTTGTTGCATTATTTATTATTACAGTTTTTTTGTTGCTGCAGCGTTTTTTTTTTGCCAAAGATTCATTGAATGTGTGGAGTTTCAGTTTTAAGCAGATGCTACTAAACTTAGTTGTGCAAAATTTATCAAGGATAATAGAGATATAAATTATGAAGTAGAAAATATTTTCATAAGGTTAATAATTCTGCGTTCA